GAGTCTGGTTGTTGTTTATTGCTTAAGAACAGTTGTTTCATAGATTTTATTCAGTTTTCTAATTGTCTACAGCAGGAGGAAAATTGTTGTAGAAGGTAATTCTTCATGGGTAAAAGCCTATCACCAGTAGACACTTTTAAAAGATATTAATGAAATTTCCACAGTGTGAATTTGGGCATCAGATCTCCTTATTGGACCTCTTCCATCAATGTCTCCCCATATGTAAAGCACAACACGGACACTGAGACCAGATCTATTTATCCTGATTCACGCGATTCCATTCCTGAACATCTTGAAGGCGTGCGCTAAGTTTAGATTTTTGATTAAGTAGAAGCTGACATTATTGTGTACTAGTTTCAGTCTTAGAAATACATTTGCATAGAAGCTGTGTGAAGCGTTACATTATGTGCACTTGCTACTTCTTTGTCATGTCTTTAAGACACTGACACTCAGAATCACGTGTGCAGGCACTGGGCCAATGTGCACATTGTGCATGTGAGAAGAAAAGCATCAAAATGTAAGGACGCAGGGACTTGAGAACATGAGGAGCTTCGAAACGTTAGTGGAAAAATCCATTTTATTTTTCTTCATTATCTTTTAATTCGACTTTTCCCAAGAACTTTTTGAAGCTCCTTGTTTTCATTCTATTTTTACTTCATATAATTTCACATAGCTTAATTCTCAGAGCCTTCACACCAAAAAAGATGAAAGTTTTATAAAAGCAATTAAGACTGATCACTTATTTGTCAATTCTAGCTGCTTAGACTAAATTATCTGATTAGAGGAGTTAATTTTATGGACTGCCAGAAGTCTCGTGTACACTATGTGTGCTGAGAATTAAAATTAAGAAGACTGGAAGCCACAGCCAGAGAGATCGATAGAGTAACTTCTGTTGATGCCGAAGAAACTACATATTTCTTCTCAAATACACAGATGTAGACATGGACAGATTAATTTAAAAGCTTAATTAAAAATTGAATGCAAATTTCTCTAACAAATTCTACCTACTTATAAACTTGGGCAAAGATTTCAAAGAATGGCATTTAAATGGATGATTCACTTTGTACATTATATTCTATATACTCCTGCTAAAGACCCTATGGTATAAATATTAATTATAAGATAAATTAATAGATTTTACAGTAAAATGTTTACATACCCTTTCCTAAAGTTAAAAATTCTTAAATTAAAAACTGTCTAAAAGCATTAGGAGTACCTTAATATAACACATTTATTTATTCATTTAACTATTTAAGCAACTAGAAATAAGATGTAAACAAATATAATTGTCTAATGAGCAAACTGAAATCTAATGATTACCAATACTATTGAGAAATAATATCAAAAATGCACTTTAGAAAAATGTTCATAAAATATGTGGTTTCCAAGTATTTGACCACTTGCTCTAATTCGGTAAAACAAATGAGATCTATCTGCTAATATTACCACATCAAGATTAGTAAGCATGAAACTATTATTTTGGCTCTGTGTGAAAAAAACAATATTCTTGTTTCTCTGCCCAAAAGCACAGGGAGGGACTCTGAGGCACCCAAACAATGAAGAGATAATTATACATGAGTTACTACTGCTGTGGCATTAATCTGTGGGAAGGATGTGCATACGCAGGGATTTCTACAGTGGAGCCAAACTAAAGAAGGCCAAGTTATCAAAATCCATGAGACACTGCCAAGTCACCCAACCACTCTGGCTAGCGGGAGCATTCTACAAGTGCGGCCCAGCCAAAATGTGGACAAATGCCCGAGTGAGTGCACCATCTGTTGCCAGGCGTTGAAGCCCTGACACAGCTCAAAACATCACTCACAACAGGGACTACAAGGGCCAATTTGCTAAGGGAGCATTTCTGAAAAGGCAGCTACACTGTCAGGAAGTGTTATATAAACACCGCTACACTGACGGAGGAAAGGAAGAGAGGAGTGCTTCTGATCCTTTATTACAGTTATTTATGGGTGTCTCGCATCCTCTTCTTGAAGAAAGTACCTTTGTCAAGAGGGCACTTAGGTCTCTTTTTGGTCATAATGCTGAATATAAAAACGGATAAAGGTGGTAAAAATCTAAGCTCTCAACAGTAAATTAAGCTTGGCATAAAACCAGCTGTCTCTAAGGGATGCAATTGCTAAATTAAGAGATAGTTTGGGAGGTGCGGCCACTTGGCAGCTCCTAGGAAATCCCTGATGGCCTGGAGCTCCTTATTCTCCTAAGCGTTATTTGTGGGCGATATTATCATTTGTTTAATTCTCCCCCTAAGCTTGCATCTTTCCCCAAAGAGGATATGAATGGGCAGAGCAAAATAGCCTATTGTAGTTATTCCACTTACAACCTGTCCTCCAAGAATAAGAACACTGGGAAACGACGAGGCAAAACTTAAAGTTTACAATAATCATAAATAGTATCTTCCTTAGCAATGCACATAGCCAGTGACTGCTGGAGTTATTATGAGTAAGTTTTGACAAGATAGGTACGTACACACACACACACACACACCTTATTTTGAAAGTGAGAGAGGATCCAGACTGGTGTCTCACAGAAAGGCATAGGCAGGGTACACGGAGACAGCAGAAAAGCACACTGGACCAATCATAAACCAATGGACAAAACATAACATTCTCAAGAAATATGAACAGATTGGTAGAAGGCAGGGCCCGGGCTACTCTGGAGGGATTTCTATGGCAGACTGACACGGAACACTTGTATCGATGACTTCATAAATTAAATCAATAAATTCAAGCTTAAAGTTTTGTTTCCTTCCAGTAATTGTAGACAAAGTGTTTTGTTTTTTTTCTGTTTCTTTTTTAGAAAACAGAAAAGTTGTTGGGGGGGGTGAGGAGGGAGAGGAACTATTGGAAGGCACTGCAGAACTACCAAGGAAGCACGGCTTTGTGTGTGGAAGATTCAAAAGATAAGGGAAGCCCAGAGTCGGGACCCACACTTGGCACTACTTTTCCTTTTGCAGCATTTGCCAGTCTGGCAGAGAAACCGGAAAGCTGGGCAAAACGCAGAGGCTTAGAGGCTGGGGTACAGAGAACGCCCTGACAACCCCTCAGCTGTGTGGAGGTGGGGAGACTGGAGCTCGGGTCCCATAAAGCCCCAGGAGCCCCAGTGACGGCATGTGAGGAGGTCAAGGGGATTTTGAAGTGCTTTATCCTGAGAGAAAGGGTAAACCAGAAATAGACCAGCCTTCAGAAAAGGACTTAAGCAAAGATTTTAGTCAGCTCAAACCCTGACTGGATTAAAATACAATCTGCCCTTGGCCTAACTGCCTAAAAGGAGCAGAAGTAAATCCTTTATGAAGGATGATAAAATCTTTTAATGTCTCAAATTTTTGCTTTATACATTTTCATACATAATGTATGGTTCTTAATAAAGCATGAGGAGCTATAAAAAGTAGTACTGACCAGAATCTAAGAGGAAAAAAGGACCAAGTAATCTAGCATAATCGAAATCTAGATGCTATGTTAGTCACGATATGACATTTTACAATGACTATGATTGTTCCGCTACAAAATTCTTATCAATGTGTAGAATTTTGATAAGTGTAAATAATTAAAGAAAAAAAATCACAGAAATCTCAGAGCTGGGGAAGGGAGACAGCAGTCAGTGTACGAAATGAAAATAATAATACTGTATAATTTATCAGGGTGGAGTCACGAGGGTGGGGGGTGGGAAGAGGAGCTGATACTAAGGTCTCAATGGGTAGTAAATGTTTAGAAAATAATGATGGCAACATATGTGCAAATATGCTTGGTACAACTGATGTATGGATTGTTATAAGAGCTATAAGATCCCTCAGTAAAATGATCTTTTAATAAGGAAAGAAATTTCAGAACTGAGTATTACCCGGTGGAATTGAGCTGAAATTGGCAATAAAAGTTCAGAAAATATCCTGTCCTTTGAAAATGAAACAAACACACTCAGCTGAGAAACCACCGAGGAAGTTAGTACATGTTCTGAAGTAGAAGACAGTGAAAGTACAAAATGTGTGGGTGTACACAGTGTATGTGTTAGAAACTGAGAGGAGCTGAAACTCTTTGGGAATACCCACTCCTAAAGTTCACGATGTACCTGTTGACAGAGCATACCTACTGAGACAGCAGTGTGTACAATTGTACACCAAAGACATGAAAATATTGGTATAATTTTAATAACTAAAATTTGGCTATTAAGTTGCATCAATAGTACAATACAGCTAATGTACACCAAAAGTGTAAAGAATCTATGATATGTACACAAAAATGGAACAATTACACTTGATCTTCGCCAAAAGGCTGAGAAGCGATAAAAGTGGACCAATTATACAGCTGGGAAAGTGATTGCGGGTGAATCTCCAAGTGCTGCTGAACCTCAGAAGCAAGGCCCCAATAGACACGGTGCTACTCCAGCTACACAGAGTTCAAAGCAGGCCCAAATGAATTAATAGTGCTCATGAGATTGGCGCTGGCTTTAGAGAGAAAGGTGCGAGTAATGACTATTAGAGAGTACAATAGGGACTTTCAGGGTCCTGGTTACGATCTACTGCATGACCTACAGACTGGCGGTGAAGTGAGTCGATTTGCTTTCATAACCCCCAAACAAGAAAACATCCGTTCTAACTTTCATAGCAGTGTAGTCAAATATATTTAGATTAAGGACTAGAAAGCCCCACATGAGGAGCGAGTAAAGATGAACCCAGAAAAGGGGTGATCTGGGGACAAGTTGTGGGCATCTTTAAATTGGGGCAATCTGGGGAAAGAGCTCTCAGGTTCGTCTCTGAAACAAGAGTACGTGAAGACTGAAATTCTAATGCAACAAGAGAACTACCCAACAATGGAGCATAGCTCAGTGACAAATAGGATTCCACTCACAAAAGTCATCCAAAGGAAGGTACAGAGAGCCCCTGGAGGGGTAAGTGGAGAGCTCTGTAGGAAGAAGGGAGACAGAGGACCACTGAAGGCCTTCGAGGTCTGTACGATGTTCAAGGCAGAGCCACAACAAAATCACCTTACCCTTAATCGCGTGGTGGAGATCTCAGCTTTTAAAATATCGGGATCGTATTTAGTACTGGATGAAGATCCTGAGAACACTTTGAAAGAGAAAAAAATGTTGAATGGCTGTTTATAATTGCATACATAATTCTTGACCGCAGGTGACTTCCCAACTCTAAGACCAGCCTGTTAGATGCTTTGTATCCAGATATTCATTTTCTTTATCAATTCCTTCATGGTCATCCATTAGATCTTTGCCTGTAAAAAGTAATCTTCAGACCTCTATCATTTTCTCAAAGAGCTGGGGGGAAAAGGAGTGGCACAAAGGCCATGGTGCTGAGTTTTCCTCTGGGCTTTATAACTGTCCGCAGAGAACCAGACTGCAGAAACAGGATACTGAAATAGTGCACAGAATTACCCAAAAGCTTATCATTTAAGCAGAATGTCTATTTTCATTATAACTGCTACTCAAACTATGACCAGCTCCAAATGACCTATTTGTGGCATAAAGAGAGACACGTTAGCTCTGGCAGTGAACAGAGACTTCTGGAATTGCTTAACAGTTCCAGTTCCTCTCGAGAAATACTAAACTAGAATTGCAGTAAGTGAAAAAATTACCTGTCCTAAAACCCAAACCAAACCCATGGGCACTGAGTCGATTTCGACTCATAGTGACCCTACAGAACAGAGTAGAAATGCCCCTGGAGGCTTACAGGCTGTATATCTTTACAGGAGCAGGAAGCCTCATTGTTCTCCTGAGGAACATCTGGTGGGTTAAAAACACCCACCATGGTACTTGTTAGCAGTTCAATGCAGAGCCCCAGTGCGTATCAGGGCTCCTCCAAAGGTAACAATTATCTCATAAACGAATACAGAAGGAGCCACAGTAACAGAAGGTATACATTATCTCCAAATGGGGAAGGTTTATCTGGAAGAGGATTGAGGGGTTTACTGAGAAGTCTGCTGGATGACATCACCTTCTCTTGGGGTACTGAGCCACGCTTCCAGTTTAGGGAGGAAGAGGGCTCAACATTAAACCCCACAAACATGTACGTAGATTTCTATTGTTTACCAATAGGCCTCAGTCTTGGAAGTCTGAATATCCGCCCTATACTTACAGCTTGTGCGAGAACTGGACTTTTCCTTATAAGCATCGTTTAATCGTACATATTCATCCAGGGCCAGAGCCAGCCTTTGCTCCTTCACGTGGTACAGTTCCTTCTGTGTCCTGAGTGCATCCTGCGCCACTGAGAGATAGTCCTTGAGCATTTTCTCCTGTTCTCCCCTCCATTGTTTTCTCGGATCTTCTATCTGTGTGGTTTCTGAAACACATATGTGAAAACACATCAAAATAAATAACTGTATATTTTCGGCTAGTTGCAATCCACATACCTTCTAAGGACAACAGGGAAAGGGTAGGATTGTGATTGAAGAAAGAAAGAAAGAAAGAAAGAAAGAAAG